TTCGGTTCGGTTCACCATAGCTAAATACTATACCCGCCCTTAAATAAAGCGGTTCGTTAAAATCAAAACCATAACCGCCCCATTGCACCATCAGTTCGGTTTTTTTCGCCCCATTCGGTTCGGTTAACCGCGATTTTCAATTTTCACAGTTCGAATTGCCATCCCTAGCTGAAGGTACCTCTAGCCATGCAGAAGCATGGATACTCCTACTAGATGTCGCCATGTCGGTGTCGAGTACATATCTCACACTAACACTTATGGTCCGTTTGATTGCAATTGTGAAAAATTGGTGGAAATAAAATGAAATCCTGAGAAAATAATTGTCTAAAAAATGTTTTGCAGGGAATTGTTAATTAAGTGTGTTTGATTGATATAATTTTTCACCCGAAAAATTTGTAAATTTTGTATTCGTTTGACTTTGTTTTACATGAAAATTGTCTATTAAAGTGATATTTTTTTTCACAATTGGTTATAAAACTTGTTTTCATTGCCAAAAAAAACAAAAAAACAAAATTATTTTTTTCATCAAAGTTTAGTTTTCGTTTGACTTTGTTTTACATGAAAATTGTTCATTAAAGTGATTTTTTTTTATACAATTGGTTATGAAATTTATTTCCATTGCAAAAAAAAAAACCTGTAATTGCTTTTCACATAAAAAAGGTGGAAAAATTAATTCAACAAAACCAAAGAAAATGTGCACGTGTAGGGAGTGAGAGGGAAAACCAATTTCCTAGAAAAAATGGCTATCAAACATGATATATTGATGGAAATGGAAAATGTTTTCCATTTTTCATGGAAAATATTTGCTATCAAACACAACCTTAGACACTATTCGGTCATTTTATTTACGGTCTAAAGCTATTTTATCCGTGCCAAAGCATGGACACTTTTACTAGGTGTTGGTATTGGACACATATTACATGTTTATAATTTTCAATCGTCGTCGTTAATAAAATAGAATGTTATTTCAAAAAAAAATATAGAATATTGCACCTATCAAGATAAAAATCAATCGTAGGTATCATAAGTAGTCGTATGATCTGAAATACGGTAATAATATTTATAGTGAATTATCGATAGTCATCCTATATGTCATACATATGGCAGTTTGTTATTTGATGTGTAAGGTAATAAAAACAACATTAATGTATTGAATAACAACTGTCTTATGTTTGTCGCATAAGACGACTATTGGTAATCTTTGCCATGGATATCATTATTTGTTGAAATAAGATTCATATTGACAACTTGGTTAACTGATTCAATATTAATTAATGGTGACTCCACATCCTCTGTTTAATTATTCTTTGTCAATAATTTGTTACACTATCTATTTAAGTTTATTTGTTTAAACTTTTTCAAGATATATAACCTTGTATTATTATCATATTTAATATAAATATATACATTAACTTTGATCAAAGTAAGGACAAACTTGATTGTTCCTATTTTGTAGAAATTAAAATTAGATTTTTAGTAAATTTTTATAAAAGTTGATGAAATGTGTGGTTAAAAATTATGGGTATGAAATATGTGGCTAAAATTAATTGACTTTGATTTTAATTTTAATCCCTATCAAACAGGAATCACAAATGTGTTTAGATCAATATTTCGTCATCCAACAGCTAATTCGATTAGTCAACTTGTATATTGTGTGTTTTACAAGTAATCGAATAATACTTTACTCTTTCATAAAATTTGAAATTATAAAACATATTCTTAGCTGATGATTGGCAAGTATTTATAAACAATTACTCTTATAAATTTATAGAAGTAGGTGATAGATATGCGAGTAATATTTGTAAATTTCAGGAAATATGTGAATAAAAATAGTTCTTATGAATGTCCTGCTTAGTGATCTTGAAAAATGCACAAGGTTAGGAGTGTAAAAGCAAGCCAAATTGTTCGAACTTGAAAATGTTTATGAGCTTGGGTATGGCTCGGTTGGGTTGGTTTTGAGTCCAACTCGAAACTGAAATCGACTTTGTCGATTTGGGTAAATTTCAACCCAAACTTACCTAATTCAACTATTGAAACTTTGGTTAGTCGTTTTGGATATTGATTTGAGTTAAAAAAATAAAATAAAATTGTCTTACCTATTTTGGATTAACATAAAAGTAAGGCTACCATCTGAACTTGGAGTTCACAACAATTAATTAATCTCCTTTTTTTAAAAAAATTTGGAATTTTGTTAGAAGAAGCGTAGATGGTAAACAAATTATTTGAGAATGAATTATATTTGTGTTTTAAGTTTAAAAATAAAATTTTAAAATGAAGAAAATAATAAAAAAAATGTATTAGTGGATTATGTCGGTTAATTGATGGGTTGGTTGCGCAGTTAATTGACGGGTTGATTGTTTAAATCGCAACCAACCCATTCCGACTTTTTCATGGTTAAAATTAACCAATTCAAACTGTTTTCTTGGTTCAAACCAACTAGACTCGATTTGGTTTGATCGATTTTTTGAATTTTTTACCGACCCTACCTTTAAGGCCTGTTTGATTTAGTAAAAAATTACCATTTTTAGTAAATTTTAATAAAAATTAATAAAATATCATACTTAAATAAAAGAGTGAAGGGTTGTGACACTATTCATAAGCACTATTCATAAGCTGCCGGCTCGGCATTTTTTTTTTTTTGCGTTTCCAAACCTAGCTGATAGACTTTTAGTCTCGGCTCGGCTAAGCCGCTTAATCGGTTTTTTTTCTTTAATATTTTAGATTCTAAATATGCGTTCTAAGCGATTTTATTTTGTTTTGAAATGTTGATGTGTGGCCACCCTAAATATATGATCGACTCGGCCAAATTTTTTTTTTTTAATTAAGTTTGATTTTGATTCCAAATGACTTTATGGGTCGACTCGCACAATGCTTTTTTTTTCTTTTTTGTTATATAGGTTGGATCGACTAAGCATTTTTTTTTAATGTTTGATTAAGTATTTTAATTTACGAATATTCATTTTAAGCGATTTAAAAATTTAGCTTGCTCGGCCTTTTTTTTTATTTTTTTTTTTTTGGCGTTTCCAAACCGAGCC